CTCGGCGAACTAGTGTGAACTCGAACATTCCAGCTTTTCACGCATGTCAAGTGACTGCCCTCACCCCCACCCCCGTAGACTGGCTACACTCCCCCTGGCTCGGAGCTTTCTGGAAAATTGCATCATGATGTCCCCGTAACTGGAATTGACTCAAAAAACTAATTAGAACATGAAATGCCGAGAAGGAATACTTTCGTTCAATACATGTTCTTTCATTTTTTAGCTATGTCTTGCATTGTCACACTGAGGAGGTGCTTCGAAAAAGGCTTTTATTTTATTTCAGTTATCATCTAAGGGCAGAAAACTAGTGCAATACCTTGTCTTCAGGGTTGTGATTCAGCCGTTATGTCCTTTCGTTTCAAAGCAGAGTCAAAGTTAGAGCTGAAATGCGATCTAGAAATTAGGCCTTCTAACAGTTTCAATCGGTCATGTTAAAGTAGGCGGAGGTTATAATCACTGCAAGACATATTCTTTTTGCTATTGTGCGGGTTCGTACAGTTCCCACCAACGGGACGACAGATTGATTTCTTTCGAAGATTGGACCTATTATAGAGGCGTGAGGAAATACTACCTTCAATTTTTATCTAATTGATTATTTATTCATATGATATCTTATCAATAATTTTGTTTCGTGCTTTTATTTTTTGACCTCATAATGTAGTTCTGGTGTAAAGCGTTAATCAGTTCAGGCACAGGTCCCACCGTACGTTATTTCTCCGTTGTCGAAATTGAGACTGAATGAAACAACTGAAGGTGACAGTTCCTTTGGTGACAACCGTGCTCGATCGACTCTACCCGGCTGGGTGATGGACGGGCATGGCCATATTATTGCTCCTCTAAAGAACCTATTGGAAGAAGGGCTGCTAGAAACATTTGCGAGGGACAAAAGTGGCTGCACGTGAGTTCGCAACCAATTTCTTCAGACGTGCAAATTGCCACAACTAATTTTGGTTCTGAGATTCGGACCCGCTTGGGTTTTTTTGAAGTAGACACATAGACAGCCACTATTTTCAGAATTTTGCTAAAGTCAATTCCTCATTTCTGGTTCAGGTACCTTCAAGCTAACTACCCTAGTGAAGGGAAACCTGAACGCGAGATGCTTGCAAAACTGTTGTTCGAACAGGGAGAATTTTTCACGGTTTTTATTTTCGTATCATTGCAACTAATTTATAGTGAAGGTGTGAAACTGTAGATTTATTTCTCCATTCAGGCACTTTGTATGGATGTGTTTGGTAACTTCTTCATACAGTGTGCTGTTCAAAATGCCACCGCACAAGAACAGAGATGGATTACAAGTCATCTTTTCGGCAAACTTTATCCGATGTGTATGAACCGCTATTCATGCCGTGTTATCCAGAAGGTTATCGAGGTTTGTTCGCCGCTGAATGATCTTTAATACATTCAAAATGTGTCTATTGTGGTGCTTCGATGAATTGCGAAACCTGTCGGTCCCAGAGATATCTGGAGGTGTTGACAGGCATGAGGTTTACACTCAAACCGAGTGTGATTCATCCTATATATCGTAGCTTTGGGGTTTTCAAGTTAGGATTTTGTAAGGTGCCGTTTCATGGGTTCAGCTAAAACGGTTTTTGTCACTTTGGAATAGCCGTGCTATAATATGTCTAATCTTCTTAATGTTCACCGGAAGGAATTTTCTTCGAATTGCAATGCAAAGGGATGTTTCGAATCTGAGCTGAAGGTGATGTTATTAACTACAATATCTAGAGATTATAATATGCCCATGCCAGCATCTTGTATCTGTGGGCTTATTATTTGTGACCTGCCGTACGCAGGAGTAACTGCAGGGCATTACGTCGAAAAGGCATGTGGGCGAACGTGTAGCGCGGGCGTCAGCTACAGTATCCGTCATCCAGACCGTAACTATCATTATTACAATCCTCCCCTGATGATCTTGAACACTTCATGATTTTTTCCATGTCGAGATTCTACATTTCAAAATATCCTTTAGCAGGCGCAGTACGGGATACATTATATTTATGACTGCAACATTTATCAGAGTGGGGAAGGAGAAATTGAAATGAAAAGGTTTAGTAGAAACCAGAAATTCAGATCGTTATCGTTTTTATCATTAGTATTATTTTTTACGAAGTCAAGCTGGACTATTTTTATATTCACATAGCGTCGTATGAGGAACACTCAAAGTTATACTGCAATTTTTAAGTGCTTGCCGGAGGAAATGAAAGGTCTTCTAATGTTGGAACTTCATAACAAGAACCTCGTCGACTTGTGCACAGATCAAAATGCCAACCATGTAATTCAAAAGGTAAGTGGACAGTTTTGCTGAGTTATTCTTCAGGTTATGAAAGTGACTGCATGAATCATCAGTCTGTCCTGTCTGCAAGGCTTGCGCTTGCATTTCGTTAACACCGATCAAATTAAAGCAGCGCAACCAATTTTAAGGAAATTTTACAGTATGCTTCCATAATATGGTCAGTCTCGTTAACCCATTATGCACCGCCAGCACATACTGCCTGAATCCCTCTACTTTTTGGGATTTTTCTCACTGCATTGGCCCACAAATGATTTCTTATTGAGAATAAGGGTTGCCAAAATTGACCATTTATTGTTCTTTGGGATACCATATTTTTCTTTTTTGAGTTTGGAATCTTTCAAGATCATGACGACATTTTCTTTCGTCCATTGGCAGTTCATCGTCGAGCAGTTCATTCGCAACAAAAACGATCTGTTCTGTGTGGCGGAAAATAAGTATGGATGTCGTGTGGTGCAGCTAGCTATTGAGCTTCTATCTGATACTGATAAGGTATCCAATTTTTTTAATAAACAAATCCCAGTGATTAGCAGTTGTCTCTTGTTTGCACCCGTGCTGTCAGACGGGGTCAAAGTGAGGCTGCTCCGGTCACTTGCTTGTACCATTTTTTTAGTATTGGAACCGCGAACCGTTCACGGATGGACGGCTTATTCCGTTCTCTTAACTCTACCAACCATTTTGAATATTGTAGTACTTTGCTACACGTAAGATTCGTGGTCGGGCAGGTCATTCTACTATGTAGGGCTTGCAAAAGTCCAATGGCAAAGTTGTTCGACCATGGCAGTTTAATATGGAAAATCTTCGCCGTCGTTGACTGAGCAAAAGTTATTAGGATATGGGCTTCGCATGCGGCGGAGATGGTGCAGTGGCATGGTTGACGGTTCGCTTGAATATTTCCGCAAACTGGGGGGTTCCTGCGCGAATGGCTAGACGAAGAACGACGTGAAATAGCCCATGCGCGACCAAGCCTTGGAGAAAAGAGGGAGGGACCCGCGAGAGAGCGCAGAGGCGGTTTGAAGGACTGAATTCAAGAAGTTCGTCGACTGCAGTGGCACGGTCAGGGGCTCAAAGTTTGGGTCGAATATCGCCTAAGCCAACAAAGCCTCTTATCTCCCGCAGTCTTGTGATTGCTACCAGACTTGTCTTGCATATTAACACGTTGACGACATCGCATGTTTTGGCATTTTGCACCTCGTGGGACAGGAGCGATTTTGCGACCGCGCCGTCCTCACCTTACTTACGCTTATTTTTTGTTAAAAATGCACAATAACTAGAATTTCATAGGACTATTTCGGCAAGGATGAACGTATAAAGGTTAACTATATAAGTAGCAGGTTTTTGTTTAGAAGAGTGCATAATGACCACGAAGAAGTAAAAAACACGCTTTCGCTGCGAATGAAATTAAAAGCATTTGTATCTAAGTATTTCCATCACAATGCAAATATATTGAAACTCACAGAGTTTTGTATTAACTAATTCTACAATCTTTCATATAAATGTTAACGACAGTGAAAGGAATACTAGGAAAGAATTGAAATGAAAGTTTTGTGCGTTCGGAAATCTTTGCTAAATCAAGGATATTGACCACTCTGGCTGCCATGCGGTTTATAGTTATGCTAATGTATTATCTATAGAATGAATACAAGAAACCCGAGAAGGAAGGAGCGCAAGCACGATAAAAGTGAATAGCATAGACTTGACGCGCTTGCGCGTCAGAATGTCCGATGCGGTGCGAAATTCTTGACGCGCATGCGCGTCAGCTTGTCGTCAACGTGTTAAAACAGTAATTCATACATCGGCTGACCTCGCAAGTCATTATAGCCCTTATCACATACACATATCAATACGTTCTGACTGAATCGTTTAGGTTGTACCGAAAAGCATCTCGAGAATTTTAGTCATTTAGAAGGTAAATCAACGTCCGATCGCAATTGTTGATGACTTCTTATGCTGATTTGGTAGCAACTGTGAGCGCCTAGCCTGCAACGAGTTTGCGAACTATGTGATTCAACACGTAATCAAAGCGGGTCCATTGGCCGACTACCGTGATCGCATCATTGAAGAGTGCCTTTTGTAAGTTACCAGGGCTCACTATCATTTTTTTTCTCGAAATGTCTACGGCCTTATAAATTCCAGACGAAACCTCTTGTCTTTATCGCAAGAGAAATATGCTTCTCATGTAGTTGAGAAAGCACTTGAGTTTGCACCAGCAGCACTCTTGGCTGAAATGATGGACGAAATCTTCGATGGATACGTTCCTCATCCGTATGATTGCCTACCAAATATTTTGTTGAGATCTCTTTTTACAGACCTCAGTTTTTTGTTCTATAGGGAAACGAAGAAGGACGCTCTGGACATAATGCTGTTTCATCAGTACGGAAACTACGTAGTTCAGCGCATGCTTGATATCTGCTGTGAAGCTGCACGTGCAAAAAGGTGTTGTAGGGCCTTATTGCGCTGTCTTTTAACACCTCTGAGCTTTTATATTTCAGGAACGGAATAAATCTTCCTGACATAGAATTGCGCATGGAATGGCTCAACCGTCTCGAAGCTCGTATTTCACAGAATCGTAATCGTCTTGCAAGGTCGTTTTTTAATTAGCATATGATGCCGTCCATATAAGTTACCATGTTTGCTGATGATGTAAGGGGTCTTTATGAGAGAATCACTCTGTCCCGAAGTCGGGCATTGTACTTCAGTAGACAAAACTCACTGGGTATCCGTCTGGAGCAGCCAGTACGAATGCAAAAAGGAATAGAAATTCAATATGTGTAGCTAATCGTTGTTTATCGGAGCAGTATATTTTTTGAAGACTATAACAAGAGGCTCGGGAGTGGTAATTGAGTAACATTTGAGGCCACCGCTCATCGAAGGGTCGTTTTTGTTTAGTTTTCCACGACAGACTTTTACACTTCTGCTTAATAATCCTGGATTGATCAGTGTTTTGCTTGAAGGTATTCGTCTGGCAAGAAGATATTGACCACACTGCAGCAGTTGAACGATCGCCCAATCCTTATTCCGAATCCAATTCGCAACCATCGTTCGTGTACTCCGGCCGCTGTACCATCTAAGTATCGTTAAGGTTGTCTATACGGTATTTTCTGTCAATCAGCTGCTACACTCTCTTTTACATTTCTGTGAATTGGAATGTTTGCATGTTTAAAAGTTTCTAGTAGTTATATTTAAGTATAGCCCTTGCTTGGCTATTCCTTTCATATGTATTCTTAGAATTTTTTTCAGTTGATGTTGCATGGTTTCATTTTAATAAGCTTCATTTTGAAATAAGCCGCTGTATATCTCGTATTGGCCCACTGTGAATGGTATTAACATTAGTTTCTGTCATCTGCATGTTCAATACGATGCGTTCTATGTATGCGTATAGATTTATTTTCAGTACCTCGTGAATAGTGCTGTTTGGAAAGTGCCTTGTGAATTTGTTGCGCTCCAGCACCTTCACTTCTAATTCGAATCCCTCAAATGTATTGCATGTGTGAGATTTTCTATTTTAGATTTCACTGTAGATAAGTTGAAATTAATAAATGTGTTAAATGAGTGGTTTTCTATTAGCGCCACGCTTTGTGCAGTGGGTGCAGCCGACCGACCGCCTGTTGCAGTCATAGCACTCACAGCTGCTCTCTCCCATATTGATTATTGCACAATTGACTAGTTTCTTGATAATCTCGGTTGAATTCCGCTTTCTGGAATCGCGTTCTGCTGACCGGTGCTTGACATGTAACAGCCGCTGAGTACGAGCTGTTGTTGGTGCGTATGCGCGTCTTGAGTCGAGTTTTGTAGGCTTTTATGACACACTTATTCAGAGCCGTTAAGATGCCCTACACGAGGCCATTTCTTGTATGATCTCTATGATTATAATCTTACTCGAGAGCATGATAGCCAAAAGGCGATTTTTTTTGAAGAAGGTTTCAAGTGCTGTTCAGCCTTAGATGTTTCTCCTTGGCCAATCGGCCTACACAGAGCCTTGTAGCAAGTTGACCGCCTAACAAAGCCTTCATCTATGCAACTCTTGTTCGGTCATATTTTTCAAAGACATTCTGATGGTATTCTTTGAAGGCTTCTTGAGGCTTCTTATGACGGCGGACCAAATAGTGATCATTAGTCAGCAGCTTTGATGTTTTCATTTCCGTATCTGTCGTCTGTCCACATCTGATGACGTATCACTTTTTCACCTTCTAGAGTTTTTTAGTTTCCTTTTGTTTTACAGTGGAGTGATTTTCGTTCGCTTGATCCATTACATTTTTTAAGGCCTTGATGGGAAAGGAACATGTTTTTACCCATTTACATTGACTTCTTAACCAATTCCACATCTGAGAAAGATCAGCTGTCAAGCAACCAGCATAGAATTTTATACGGAGAATGAATGAGGATGGAAATGTGGAGTTTAGTTCTAGCATGGGCACGGCAGACTCCCATATAACGTGTAAATGGGTCTATTCCAGTCAGGGGGGGGGCATCATGAAGCAGTTTCTCGGTGAACTCGAACATTCCAGCTTTTCACGCATGACGCCCTTTTCACGCAAGTGATTGCCCTCAAACCTCCTAGACTGGCTACACTCCCCTGGCTCGGAGTTACCTAAGCTTTCTGCAAAACTGCATCATGATGCACCCCCCTAACTGGAATAGACCCGTGTAAATTTTCGACTACTCGTAACCAAGCTATATTCAACAGTATTTGTTGTTTGACAAGCAGGCCTGGGGTACCCGTCAGGAGGCCGTCTCGCGGCAAGAATGTGGAGTTAACGGATGACACACAGCGCGTACTGTAGAAATCCCGCGTCAAATTAAATATTGTAGAATTTGCCATTATATGTCCTATCGCACGGACCAGCTGTTTGCGTCTGCATAGCGTGGCTCTGTGTGCCCAAAAGCAGGGTCACCCTACGTTTTTACTAAGAACAACGGGGGGGGGGGTCGTACCTTGGTGAGTTTGTAGGGGGGCGGGGCGCGTGCGGTGGGGGCGTCGGAAAAAGTTTTGAAAGTAACAACGATCGCAGACCTGCCCAAGCCTGTACCACTCGGTGCTCGGCTGACTCAGCAGAGATCAAGGCTTGGAAGGTTTCAACAGGCTTTTGTCCGCAGCTGTAGAAGAACGATAGGAATGCGCTTTCCAGGTACCGTCGTGGTAATTCGGTTACGCATCAATCCGTCCTTCCAAAATTGTTTGTGTCCTTGTGGCGGTATACCACCGTCCCTTGGGTTTCTCAGTTTTGCTATCTTAAAGTCCGATCTCAAAGTTCATTTCTAGTAATGCATGTTTTTTGAGCATAAATCACAAGTTTGGGAAGTTGTTTATTTTTTATCTGAAGTGACAAAAAAGGATTAATAAGCTGTGGACTACTCCGCTAGCTTCCTGCACAAGGGTAAATGACTTTTCCGTGATTCACGTATTTATATTGGTCATTCGGTGAAGCTGTACGTTCCTATTGGCAGCTAATGGCAAGTGGTCGAGCTTGGCAGCTCTGGAGACTAACCTTTTGGCCATAATGGCACCCACTGGTGGGTGCCACCTTAACATTTTCTTCTTTGCGAATTTGGAATTTTTACGTTCTATTTTGTTTTACTTTATTTATTCACTAACAAGTTTCGATATCTAGTTATTTCTAGCATGGTTCATAGAAGTGTTCGATGGGAGCTATTTACGCAAAATTTCAGAGCATGGCATTTAGTTCGGCTGCATACTAACTGGGCTTTTATGGCTGGACCTTGCTTCATTTGCACCATCTGGGCTTCTCAGTGTCTGATTCCGGCGGGTGGTATGTTGATATGTAAGAGTACGAGGGAGCCCTTGGTGCGCGCAAATAAGGTCATTCATTAGCTTCCAAAAATCGTTCATTGTGATGTCATCAACTTCATATCTCGAAACCAGCGAGAAAACTACCTACTATCAGTCACACCCGTAAAGCTATTTAGTAATCGGGTGACACTGTAGTAGGCGAATGAACCACGGGGGAGCAAGATGGGAATTGACGATCCGAAGTGGAGACGCAAAACACCTTAGGATACACCTGGAGTTATACGTCTATTTCCCAGGTGCACCTGGGTTTACAACTCTCCTGGGGTAATTACACCCTTCGCACGACGCATGTGTCCTATTACTAAGCAGCTGGCTCTGAAAGTAAGTAATAAAAAAGGATGATGATTCAGTTTTCGAGTGGTAGAAATACCATTGTACTGAAGTACCTGGAAGTAGCTGCATAACTAAAGAAAGAAGATGATAGAGTAGCAACTTCACTAAATGACCCACACTGAATACTATAATATGCGAGTTTATGGGAGAATTGGAGCACAAATTAACTGTCAATGAGTAATGTGTAAGAAGCAGTGAATGTTGATAATTCTCCATTGGGTTGCGCCACACATGCGACTTCCAGTCAGAACCACAATGACATTTGCTGATCAATGCCATTTAGCTTATTAAATGCAGCTCACAGGAATCAGCCAATGCAGTTCGTGTAGGTGGGTGCCTCACTGATAGGTTTGTTATCGATAAAATGTTCCCGGAAGGGTAAAGAGCATGGTTGCCTTGAACTGGATTGGATAGGGTTACTTTACCCAACCATGCTTGTGGCAATCTGCGCCGCCGTTTCCTTGAATTTTGAACGAGTCTAATCTATTGAAGCTAAAAGAAAGTTCTGACTAGTTTGAGCTCCGTAAACTCTAGGTGTCTTACCAGGGAAGCCTTTCAGCTTTCCATGCAACTTTGAGTTCCTGGGTGGAATTTGAAAAAGCTTTGAAAGCTGGTAAGAAATAAGCAGATCAGAAACTGCTACGTGAACCTGCTAAGGAAGTTATGAATGGTCAAAGTTGTTAATGAAGCCTACGTTGGTACAACGATATGAGGTGGAAACCTCCTTCCCAAAGGATGCCGATTGCCTGCTGATTACGAAAAGATGGTCATGTTTAATTAACGAACAGTTTAAGAGCGCAACGTGCGTGGAGCGATAGAGAAGTGTGGAGACGCTGCAAATGCAAAAAATTGTCGATTCACCACGTGGCAATTGAAAAGTGGCGTTGGTCACATTGAATCACGACCAGCAACTTCCCTAGGCAGGTTTACAGTCTTTTTTGTACAATTGTTATTACTAAGTCGCGGAGAGCTTCAAATACTATTGATAAGTCCATTATTGATGCCTCTATCGATCCCTCGTAGGTTTAATTCAAACTGCAAATTCCATAGTGCCGAAATGTCAGTTACTTCCTGGCGAATCGCTGCGATTCGCTAGCGTCTGCGTGTCGCGTCGCGGAGCACAGTGAATCACTCAATTGGACTAGAAAAAGCCATGCATCTGATTGTCCTGATCCCAGGAAGTGTTCTTAATGGCGTGCGTGTGCGCAACGTCGTAGCCGTTGCGGACCTCGAGCAATACTCGTGCACGATTCGGCAGGAGTGACCGACATCGACCTATGGGATTTGAACTTTGAATTGAAACTCTAGAGTACAGGGCCTGTAATATTGGCTACAAGTATGAAACTCGCCATTAAATAACATTGTATGTTGACATATGAAGTTGCAAAAGTTTTCTGGTTAGGGATTTGAGAAGAAAAAACGACTAGATACATAGTACCTAAAGCATCCGATCATGCGAAGAAAGTAGGCGCGTATCTTTAGCCGCCCAATATGAAGCAGCTTTCGATTATTATTAGGTACCTTTTGTCCCCCCGCCGAGCGCCTGCACCACCGATAAAAAAACATCGGAAAACAAATTCGCAACTAAGGGAGAGAGTGTGTGAGCGGAGGACTCAAGCTAACTCTCTGAGCTTTCTTCCAGTGAAACTTCGCGCAGTCTTCTTGCCCAGCGTCTGAACCCGCGATTTGTAAAACTTGACGAGGCTAAAATTTTTCACTTTTTATATACTATTACGTGGTAATATTGCACCTCAACCATCAGAAAATGTTGGAGTTAAATATTAGTCGCCCAGGAGTGGACCAGCAAAAAGAAAAAGAAAACTCAAAAAAAAACGAAAAATAAGTAGACAAACGAATAAAAAATCTGAACTCGGTGCTCAATCCTCCCACTGGAGCTTCTGTAAATTGCTCTTTCCTTCCAGACATACCACGTTTA